TTATCCTTCTAAAAGTTGTTTTAATGAGGCACGAGTGGAAAACAAAGAAAAATCTGAGTTTCCTTTTAGGATTCCGTCGAACCACAAGTAGTCCTACCGCTTTATCATTTCTTTATTACTGACTAACGAAAGGCTAACGCTCGAAACGTCAGCTTTAGTAACTTTGTACGATGGCTTAGCAGTGTTATCTTGTTACACATGGACATGGTATATTTCTAAGCTCATCATGGAGTTCCCTGCAGCTCACGAGTACAGAGCAACGGATTACGAAATCCAATTGCTCTCGTTTGAATCCTCGTGCATGAGAGACTAAGATTCTTCCTGTGTCCCGGGTTCATTCCTTTAGAGTCTTAATTTCCTTTAATCTCATTGTTTGAGAACGAAAGTGTAATTCAAGTTTCTGCTATTCAGTATTAGCCGTTTCTTTTTAATATCTGTGGGTGTGCACGATATGGCATTGTTGCCTCACGCAGGTGTTGTTCAAAGAGGACTCTAAGCTTGCGACGTCGATAACTAAAAGGAATAATGGTACTGGTTACAGTGGCACACCGCTAACTTATGCTGCCAAGGAAAATGAAGAACAGTTCGAGCTTTTAAAGGAAGGTCAATGTATTTACAAGTGAAAAGAGAAATAAATAAGATGTTTTAGGGAAGCAAACCGGGCGTCGGAGGGAGAGTGTAAATGCATCTTCAACAAATTCACTGGAATGTCTTTCTTCAACCCAGTTCCGATTTATCAAACATTTTGTCTTTCTCTGCTCATGATGCCCATGGTGTTTGGTGCAGTTCATGTTCGGAGGTACTCCACCCTCACTTTCTCTTTAGAAGATTGATGGTGTGGTGAGTGCCTACTTTCAACATAAAGAGTTCTTCTGATAGGAGAAAGTAAAGTGACAATTTCTTGAGTTGACCATGCAGGATCTAAAAATACGCGCCAAGTGTTAAGACCAGTGTTTCTTCTCCACAGAGAACAATTGGCGCTCGTGGCTGTGTGCTGGGAGCTGTATCAGATTTACAAATGCTAAAAAGTTCCATGAAAAGAAAAGAAAAGAAAATAAAACAGAAAACAACGACTAAGCTGAGTAATCGATCCTCTCTCGATGTAATCAGGCCGCGTTTACGATGTGTCAATTGGTAATGCTCAGAGAGTTGTTATGAAATTTTTTAGAACTACGTAAACAATAAAAATAGGAACACCACTCAAAATTTGGGCAAATTTGCTCTCTCAAGGCAGAAACAGACGAGACAGATGGTCTATGCGAGGTGGTTCTTCGAGCAATTGTTCTGGACTATTCACTACGTGGCAAACACTTTCCAAAGTACAAGGTGTTTCCAAAAAACTGGATCCAGCGTTAAGACCAGCAGATAATAACAGAGAAAACAAGCACGTTGTGTATTGTTTCAACTATCCAACACAAAGTAATGTGACTGGAAAGTCTGTTCTTTTGTTTATTACTGGTAAATCGTCTTAATAGAAAAACTCATGGTATAGAGGCGATAGAAGCGACCGTTTATCAAGTGATTTACCATCCTTTGTTTCCCAACCAATGTTATCCTTCAAAAATTTTTTTTAATGAGGTACGAGTGAGGACCAAAGGAAAAATCATATGAGTTACCCGTTGGGATTCCGGCGACCTGCAACTAGTCCAGCCGCCTTAACATTTCTTTATTACCGACTGACGAAGGGCTAACGCTCGAAACGTCAGCTTTAGTAACTCTGTACAATGGTCAATTCACATTATCAACTCAGTTGATAAAAGCAAAGTGTCTCATAATACCCTCCACCAACGAAACACCACAGTTTCTTTAGAAACTTACCCCCTTTCTCGTTATTCCAGCCAACTAGCCGAGCCAATTTGTTCATCGTTATAGAGAGAAGAGTGTAAAGATATTCATTCTTTCTCCCCTGCAGTTTTGGCGTTAAGAAATACGCTTTTTTCATTCTTTGTTTGGTTTTATTTGTTTTCGCTCAGTCGGTATGTAGTAATAATTACAGAGGAGATTAACTCCATTGTTACTGGAGCATATTTATCTTTTCCTTTGCGAAATTCTGACAACGGTCGGTATCGTCAGTCTAGAGGAAGGATGAGTGCCCCCCTACTCGGGTGAGATTCAGAAGCAGCCGCGTGTGGTAACATCGCTAACAAAGTTTATCATTGCCAAACTGTTGCCCGTCATTGCGATTGTAACAAATATATTAAACGTCCTTATCCAGTTTACCTTTAGGAATCAAGATGTTCTAACTTAAGGGTTTGTCAGGTTTAGTAAAGGAAAACGCGATTCTTGTGTAACTGTTATGTTATATAACGCTAAGTTTTTACCGGTTGAAAACTTATAATTATTTGTTTTGCAAGGAATGTAAAAAGTCGTTTAATAATTTAACAATTAATGTCTTTTTCATAGAAGATGTCCGGTTGTTGGAGATAATTTCATAGAGTTGATTTTTAAAATTTTTTTCTCAGTTCTTTGTTGATATTTTATACTCTTGTTTACTCTTATGCCTCAGCCTTTTTAAAAATAATTTTAAGCAGTTTAACATGCTTTACAAATTTGTTTCCCAATTGAGAAAAATATCTTAAATTCCACTGTAAATTATTGAAGATCTTGACAGCTTTGAGTGGTTTTCTGCCACGAGATGGGAGATTTAGTTGCTGGAAAAAATTTCCTGGGACAAAAACTTCAATTGTGAGGTTTGATAAAAATCATGAAGAGAAAATTCTGGTTTTCCCAGACACTCATTACAACATGTCCTTTGCAGAAGACAGAACTGAAGCATATCTTGAGAATCCCAAGTAATCACTAATTTACACGATTTTTTTTTCAAAAAGTGGATATTTTTTACTTTGAAAGAAGGAGCGATTCTTGTAAGGCTGTCATTCGTTCTGAGGAAGAGTTAACGGAAGGCTAATGCTCGAAACTTCAGCTCTAGAAACTTTTTACCGCGGCCAAATTGTCTTCAGTAATACCCCCCACAAGGTGTTGCTGTAGCAATTTACAAAGACAATAAGTAGAAACACGTCCCTTAGTAACATATGGAAAATGACCCGCACGAGGCCACTGTTATAAACAACTTTTCATACTCTCATCTTGAAACTAGAAGGCTGAGGGATCCTTTTCTGTTGCTTCTTTGTCCTCCGGTGAAACCATATTCATTGTTGTCGCATGCCAGTTCTGGGAAACATTTGTGTAGCAACAGTAACTCCGTTCCATTAATGTTAACTTTATCGGCCAAAGTACAAACCTTCCAGGTTGGTTTTGTTGTGTTGTGTTGTGTTCTGGCAAGAGACAAAGAAAGATCCGAAGTGAGAGCTACAAATGATTGCCTGTGGATAACCAATACACAGACGGAAATTACCTTGGTTATTGACCAACGTGACCGGAATGCGAAAACAGGAAACCCATAACACCTTGAGTCTAAATTCACTAGTATTAAAGACGCTAGGTAATAATTATACCACCTGAAAAAGAAGCACACTTAAAACCTGGAAGGAAAATTATATTCCTTGAAAAACATCTGATAATAGCAACGTGCGTGGGGCTATTGTTTTCTTTATTCTGTCCTAATTGTTGAATGCAGTACTGCCTGTCCCGTAAAAAGTTTTGTAAATTAAACTGCACAAAAAACATGCATTTGTGCTTCACGGTGATATTCAAGAATTGATATTGCGTTTAATTTACTGGATAAAAACAATGCGTTGAAGAATATTTGTTTATATAATAAACAGACAACTCAACGAGAATTTATAAAGTAATTTGTTTACCGCAGCCATCTGTTTAGATCATGAAGCTCGGTGAGTAAGGTTATCTTCGCATCGTTTCACCAGTAATTCTGATGACCGTAGAGAGTATCGAAGAGAAAATGCATTTGTGACCAAGTTGTTAAGTTTGATTAGAGATAATACTGTTTGGTAAACAACCAATGATTCTCTTGCAAACTAATATGAAATATTTATCACAAGTTTCTGGAACTTTACCCTGGCACGCGTCTGTGGTCAGTTAGTACTGGTGGTAGAAATACTCACCTTCATTAAAAAAATTTAAAGTCTAGTATTGCTATCAGTTTGAATTAAATCAAGTAACTCTCCGTTGAGGCTCTTGTATGTGCTTTTCTGCTAAAACAAGTTTTTTTCCCCGTGACTCGTTTTGCAAACACGTGCTCAGGAAGAAACAATCTACACATCACATCTAGAGGGGTGTTGATTGTCCAGAGCGAATTCAATTGAAACAATGAGCTACTCCGGTGGCCATTTCAATTTATAAAAATCTCTTGGGGGGACTGCACCAATACCGGCCGAGTAAGTGTTAAAGAGGCATTTTTTTTGCCCTGCGGCCGTTAAACAGTTAACTGATTCTAAAGAAACCAATACCCCCTATTATTAACACGAAGGCACGTGGCTTTTTAGAGAACAATTTAAAGTGAAATCAACGTCAAAAAGAGAGAGAGAAGTATCCTGTTTTAAAGGCACGTAGTTTCTGCAATGAAGCTGATATAGCATAGTAGAACACTTCAGTCATATGCATCCATGTAGTTCATTCTTGCCCAAGAAGAATCGAAAACTGTTTGTGTTGAAGAGCCTGTCGACTTTATGGATGAATGGTGCCTTTCATAAGCGACATAAATTAATTATATCAGATATGTGACTGTGTGTTCCATGAAGTAAAATGATAAGTGATTAAATAGTAAGCATGATAAGTAAACAGACTGCGTTGTTTTATGGAACAAATCTTTGAAGTTTGTCCAACGGAATGCAAGGAACAATCGAGAACTTTTTTTGCGAACAATGCTCTATTTTACCCTTTTCACCTTTGGCGACTTTACCACCTTTGTCCTATACCGGTGAATTCCACGCCAAAACCTCCAATTAAAACTCTAGAAGTAATACATTAAACATTTATTAAGGTTTATGTCACACTTAACTCCTCTCCGAAATCAGGGTGTGTTATTCTTAGCGGTCGTGCACTGAGAGAACTAGTTATTAAACCTAGAAAAGCCAATAACTATGTCCTGGTCGCAACTCCATGAGGTTTATTGGTACGATAACCCAGAAAAGACGATCGATTGTGCCGTCTGCAACGCACCTTCGTCTGGTCGCCACTATGGCGTATTCACATGTGAAGGGTGCAAGTGTTTCTTCAACCGAACCGTTCGTTATAAGCTGTCTTACACTTGTGAGTCTTCTGGAAATTGCCGCATCGACCGCCAAAACCGAACGCAGTGTCAACATTGTAGATTCGAGAAATGTGTTCAAGTTGGAATGAGGCGAGATGGTAAGTTTCGTTTTATTCTTGCTAGTTTAAAACACCTCGTATCCACTATCGAAAACGACTACAAATTTTCTCATTTTTGTAACATAAGCTCGACCAATAGTTACTGAGCCATTTTGAAATCATGTATTCTTTCCCCCGGCTATATCTCCAAACGCTGTTCACAGTAAGTTTAGTTAGCAACAGGGATGTTGAATTATCAGAACCCTTGTATGCACGGCATAAAATTTTATGTACCTACATTTCAAAAAGCTATCACATTATCACTTAAATCCTAGCAGAACATAACCCATTTTACATGTATACATTGCGATACTGTCTAGTCGTCTGGCATCTTTCACCGCTTTAACCATGATAATAGCGACTAAGCTTCCCCAGACAATTCATGGATAACTACATGTAAGAGAATGTTCTATTTACTTAAACTATATGTTGTCTTAAAAGACGACAAAGTTTTCATGACTCTTCACGAATCTTCAAGAAAGGGAGATTATTTATCTCCCTACTCCCCAACCAACCCGTTAAAATTAGAAAGCAATAGCGACCTAACTCTAAGTTTACAAAGAGTAGCGAGTTCAATTCAGTTTCAAAGATCTTTTTCCATTTCTTTTCCTGTCAGTGTTTGATCTTCAAAAAGACAGAATGCTGAATTTCGAATCAGTGACAATGGAAAAAAATTATTTGGTTTTAAAACGTTTTGGAATTTCTGTTAGTCTCTTTTTTCCATTTTTATACCAGCAGTTTAGTATAGGGAGAGGAACTATGTCTTTCCTTTTTTTCTCCTGGCGAAGAATCCGTTGCGTAGGATGATTTTCACAAATACGCACGTTTTCGTTTGTTCCATAAGGGTACCCATACCGCAGCATGTCCAGTTACCTCTACTTGAATGCTTGATTCTGTTTTGTGACGCTTGAAAACAAAATCCTATCTTCAGTGAATTTTAAACCAGCAATTTTCCCACATATTCTTATATTCCTTCATGCGCATTAGCAGAGCAAAGCTATTAGCCAAGAGGACTTTGACGAAATTTACAAAGACCAGCTAGATTATTAAGGTTAATTATGTCGTTCTAATTGTGCGCTTAGTAAGTATGTTCGTAAAGAAATACAGGTTGGATGTAAAATCTTTAAAAAGGTAATTTTAAGAATGTCTTCTCTGAAATATCCAGTTTTATTCAATCGCATCTCTGCCATTGAAATGGTTATCGCTTTAAGAATTCATGAATCTGTTAACTTCAGGTTTTAGCATTAATATTTAAGGAGTTCATGATATTATCTCTATTCAAAAGAGGTATTTATTTTTAACAGTCTTGGCAAAAAGATACATGTCTTTCCTATCAAATCTTGTCCAATTTCATATTCTTCTTTGAAGACAAAATACGCAAATGTATTTAAAAACAAATATTTTCCTTCAATATCCAGTGCAATTCCTGAGAAGAAACGATAATTAGTATTTGGTATTTATCTTTTAAAACACAAGAATGAACAATCCTGTTTATAGCGTGTCAAAAAAGAACTTAGACTAGTAATTTGCTTAAAAAAAATTAGTAAACTGCTTTTTCAATTCCTGCAAAATTAATTCTTTGGTTTTTGTTTTTATCTCAGCCATCAGAAGAGGACGGCCCACAAAGTATTCCTACCTGTCAAGATCATCAAAATCATTTACCTCTCAGTATGACCTTATAACGCTCCTTACCCAGTTAGAAAGAGGTAGCAGAGCCTCCATAACTGCTGCTCCCAGTTCCCCAACCTTGGAATCCACTCCATGCCATAAAATATGGACCTTATTTTCTGCTGCCTTGAAGTGGACCAAGCACGTGCCTATGTTTTCAAACCTGGATATCTGTGAACAGTACGCCATGCTGAGATGTTGCTGGGGTGATCTATTTATTTTAGTCGCTGCACAATATGATCTGCAAATCGATTCTGTCGCGCTCTCTTACGAGATTGAGACATGCGCGGGAATGTGCAACGAGAGGAAGCTTCGACTGAAGCAGACGCTAGCCAGTTTTCACGAGTGCTTGTTACGCTTGCGTGGTTTAGAGGAGGCCGAATACGCATGCCTGAAAGTAATGGTGTTGTTTTCTTCAGGTTGGTATTGAAAAGGATGCGACTTTAACCCTTTAAGACCCAAATTACTTAAGACCACGTTTCTTCCCTTTCAACTTCGATGACATTTCGCCTCCCTTATGACAATATGCCACTTACCATTTTTTGGAGAGCATTTCTATTCAATTGGTGCTCTTCAATCAGTCGGCGCCTTCCATCAGATCGAAATAAATAGCAATAAAGTTATTTGAAAAAATCTGAATAAAAACCACTGAATATCCACCCATCAGATAAATCACTTGTTAATTACAAACACAACTTAAGACACTAGTTATATTCAGAATTATAGTTTTCCTTTTGGTGATCATTAGCTCAGCACACTCACTTTATTCTTTGTTTCGTTTCCAGATAGTGCAGAGGCTCGTTGTCTGCCCGACGCAGAAACAAGCCAAGAAGTTGTTCTGTCTGCCATGGAGCGTTATTGTAAGAATCGTTTTCCCAATGAGGCGTTCAGATTTGGAAAAATTCTCCTCAAGTTGATGGGACTTCGAGCAGTGAATGCTAATGACCTGGAATTTTTGTTCTTTTCAAAAATTCTGCATCATACATCCATTGCCGGTGTGATTAGAAACCAACTTGTCAGCGGCTTATCTCATTCTCCTGTGTCGCCCTACAAGGAGGCAGGCATGAAAAGTCATCAGTAAACATACAAACACAAAAACAATTTGGTTTTATCTAGTGGGTTGATAAACCAAACCAAACATTACCCGAACAAACTTGTAAAATAACTGAAGTTGTTAGCTGGGACAACTTCAGTTGTAACAAAGAATCTTAAGTCATCTGATCATGCATAGAGTCCATCAATTTAGCTGTAAATAATCATTTCATAATCATTGTAAAACGTCAAAATTTAAAAATCTCATCACTGACCTCTAAACCATTCACCAAACGCAGCAGATAGCTTTCGTTGAAATAATTGCACTCAAGATTTCTATTCACAGAGTTATCTTTTGGAGCGTAAAAAACACAACTTCATGGAAATACTAGTTAATAACTTTGTTAAAACCTCTCAACCCCTTAAAGTGACTGGTTTCTAATTTCTTTTTATATTATCACCCTTGAATCAAATGTATAGATCAGAAGAATAAAGGAAAAAATCACCAATCTAAGACGCTCCTGATTGTCAAACAAATTCTCCTTGTCAGTACCAAAAGTACCATGGGAAATCTAAAAAGAACAGTATAGGGAATATAATTACCGATGTTAAGTTGAAGAGGGTTACATTATATTGCCAAAGGCAGGCTTATTTTGAAGCACATGGGGAGAGGGAAGTCAAAAGTGAGGGATGAAACCGTTTAATTGTGAAAGTCTGACGTCCTTGTAGGGTGATGAATTAAAGATTAGATAAGGTAGCGTTTCCTCGTACCAATATAATTATTTAAACTTTCCCTGCTTTAAAATTACATCGCAGCAAAGAAGGGTTTTTAATTGTAAATAACTCAAAAGTTTCCCTAGTTTATTAGATTTGGTGGATGGGATAGGAGTATAATAATTTCAGCTTTTAATAAAGAGATAGTAAAACAGTAATTTTAGAGATAAATGTTTCGAGAAAAGTACATGGTAGACAGTAAAAGAAATCAAATTCAAATGATATGTAAGACAGCGTTCTTTGTCTCAACAAGGTAAAACCTGTTATCCATGGAATCTGGCGCCACTAACCTCGTAGGATAAGCTTAGGATACATGCATACGAGTGGGGTTAATGAATAATCCAATTTCCAAAAACAAAATGTCGAATACATTTGCGTAAAAATCCAGCATGTAAACAGATTGTGTATCAGTTTTAGAATGTAAACATTCAAAGGAGCTAAGGTGCTTTTCTCATGGAGAACATGAGCCATGTCCCCCTGAGTACGAGCAAGAATATCTCTTGATACAAGATATGTCTCAAAAGTGCTGTGATATTGTGTTCTCCTGCCAAAAGAAATGCTTGGTATTGAAACATGAAAGTTCTCTATAAATTAAAAAAAATCAGAAATGTGGAGAACGAATAATTGATGACGCCACAATACCCAAAACTCATTTAAAGGGTCTTGAAAGACAGAACTATATTCTCCACCGAAAAAAAAAAAAAAGGATATAAAAAAATTAAGCTGACATCTGATGTCTTCCTAACTAGTATTTGCTTCTCTTGAAAAAGAACGACACATTTTTTACAACCTTAGCACTTTATTTCAAAACCCTCAGTTAATGTTTTGCGCATCGTAAATAAAATCCTTGAAATTTTGCATTTAAAAGAATTGTGTCAATTTGCACTTCAGTGGAGAAATTTCACCGCCAAATCTTGGAAATTTGTCTCTAAAAACACGCACTAATTTTCTCCAACCTGATAAAATCCAATTTGAAAATCCTGTGCTGACACTGTTACAAAGAAAAAAGATTTTGTTTTTTGTTTTTGTTCTATTTAGCAAATTCCCTCAGCAACTTTCCTAAGGTCATACCCTAAGGTCATACGTATCTCTTTTTATGGTGTAGAACGAAAAATGATGACTGAAAGAGAAATAAACAGTCAAATTAAGAAGGACAGGAAAGAAAATGAAATTTCAATGTCATGAAGAATCACCAATCACTTCATTACAGATACAAACGATACTTTCGATAGCAGGTTAAATCTGAACTGTTCCTGTTCTTTGTTCCAAATCAATGCAGATAAACGAGCGGATTTATCCTGTTCTAATCTAAAAAGACCAATTTACTCCCAGCGGTAGCTGACAATGATACTTTTTTTTTTCAATTTCGTGTCATCTGCCAAGTTTTCATAATAACCTATATAAACGAGGCGCAGATGGTTCATAGTAAGCGCGAATCACTCTTTGAATATGAAAATGATTTTCTCGCATAGGAAAATTAATTATAGCATATTGGCCAGTTTTTTTTTTTTAATTGAACTTTACGTTTAACTTTTGCCACATATAGAGTGCCATTGTTCTTGATTGCTTCTCGAAATTTTGAATCGATGTTAATCAACACATCAACGAAACATTCTAATTTTGAAATGTTTGGAAGAGTCAAACCCAGAAATATTTGTATAAGGCTGACAGCGTTAACATAGTCTCTACAGTTCGTTGTAATAGCCTCTGAAAACAGAGAAAGCTGAGAAAACATAAACTGAGAGTCCCGTTTGACATTTCTTTTCATATATTCCTCTGTAAGCTGTCAGTCAAGGAAGAATAATTAAGACTTTGATGTTCATCGATTGAAATGGCTGATACGAACACTGACTCTGGGACTTCCAGTCACAAAATTGTTGAAAACTCTAACAAGGATGTCTACACGATCTTTGGTGTTATCTTTATTGTTATGGGACTTCTTGCTTCTCTGGGAAACACTGTTATCCTTTACGTTGTCAAAAGGGATCCTCTGAAGTGCCTTAATAAACCGACAAACGTCTTCAACATCGCATTAACTATAACACACGTCTTGGTGGGAATGATAGTGTCACCGTTTACTGGCATTTTAAGTATTCTCCGAGGACATAACCCTGAAAACCCTCTTCCTTCGGCGGTGATCCATCTGGAGGCTTTCATGCAAGATTTCATTATTGGAACTGCCACATTGTGTTTATGTGCCATATCAACTGAACGCTGTACAGCCGTACTCCACCCACACTTAAACAAAAGGTGGTTTACACTACAGCGAGCAAAAATCGTTAGCGTTACAGCAGCGGTTACTTGTTTCGGGTTTTGCTCGCTGCTGTTCCTCGACATATCGAAAACGTTGTTCTACATGATCTACCTCCACGTATTTATTATCCTCCCAGTCTGTGGAATCCTCATATCGTGCACGGCAAGGCTGAGAAATTTTAAGAAGCAAGCCCGTGTCTCGGTTATCAATAGTGGGTTACCAGTCGCTCAGATATTTGCCAGCGAATCAAGAAAGAGAAATTCTCAGATGGTTTACAAATTGTTGGTGACTTTATTCAGTGTTTTGCTACCAGTTTTATTGTCCTTGTTTCTGTTTTACGCCGTGAAGTTTATGGAAGTAACGTGTGATGATTGTATCACGAAGCGATGGTTCATAGTTTTAAATAGTACGAGTTTAGTTTGGTTATTTTTGAGCAGCGTTTTCAACCCTGTTTTAATCCTGAGGCGTATAGCTGAATACTCTCGGTCAATTAGACACATTCTCAGGCAGATCCGGTAACTAATTAAAAGGAAACATATTCTTTCACTATTTAAGGAAATGTTTCATAAAATACTTTAACTCCGTGTAAATATGTACTAGAGCTGTAACACTCACACAAGCCTAAAACAAAATTTAAATTAACGTCGGTTAGCAAAAAGAGAACACAAAAACTTCAAAGCGTGTCATTATTGTGCAGCCTTTAATGACTGCACTTTATGGGAATATTCCAAATCGATTTAATGATAAACAACGTGTCCTACAATGGTGTTATCGGATGAAGTCCTTTATGAAATATTAACTCGCTTATATTCACAACTATTCAACGTTCATGCATCTGTTATTTCGTGAAAATAGCGAATGGGAATCGGTTGACCCGCATGATCCGTTCTAATAAGTTCGTAATCAAGAAATGAAAGGAACCGCATCAGGAGGGTTCCCATTTATACAATTTTATACAAGATGAATCATTACTAAGTTTGAATTTAAATCCTGGGTCAGTGATCATCACCTCTTGAAGAACCGGCCCCTTGGCTGCGTTCATTGAATGAATTGCAGGCGTAGACTTGATCATTGTTTCCTTCCTGGGTTTCTTTTAGTTCATCATCAGTTCAAATGAGTCTTGTCATTTGAAGAAATGTTGATACCGACTAAAATTTCATTTGTATTTCTTTTCAAATGATTTATTGAACATCTTTCTTTTGTTTGAAATCAGAGTAGAGTACATGCAAACGACTCTGAGTTGGAGCTTAAGGGTCTTATCATGAAAATAAATGGGGAAAAAAATAAAACTTTGGGAAGAACACAAGGAAAACAATTTGATATTCCTTATTGATTGTTCTTCTTATTACGATGCATGTGTTTTGTTGGGACTCTCGCTCCTTGTTGTTCCAACTCGTTCCCGGGGCTCTCTCACCTTTCCACAGGGTGGAGAAGAGTGGATCCTGGAAACAAGGATTTAGAAAAAGGACTGGGCTAGTGGAATGCTAAAATCTTGGTATTTTTAAAAGCATTTTCAAGCAAGGGGGAAAAAAAATGCCCAGTATACTTTATAAACCCCGTATAAGGGTCATGCACTGCTATGTAATGTGTTTATTAAGTAAATTTCACTCCTTAATATTTAAGATGCCTCGTTAGCGCAGTAGGCAGCGCGTCAGTCTCATAATCCAATGCGAAATCTGAAGGTCGTGAGTTCGATCCTCACACGGGGCACTTAACTTTTTTTCCTAAATCGCTTTTTTCCTGCTGCAACTTCATGGAAAAAATAAAAATAAAATTTCGTTTATTACACTTATTATTCACATAGTTTTTCTCTTGACGAGGAAAGCTCGCGTATTTTTTCTCAAATAATAACATCTCGATCTGTTCGATTCTCGGTTCGATTATGAAAGCCACCCGTAGTACGTGCGTAGAAGTTCTCCACAATTCTCAAGCAAAAACTTGATTCACTATTTTATTTATTTTTTTACCTTTTTTTATCTCTGCATTATTATCTAGTTGCCAATGGTGATATCAGGGCAAACTTTATGGAATGTAAACATTTCGACAAAAAAAAAACCTGACTCCTCTTGATTAGTAATTTCCAACATGATTTGTTGGGGGATTGTTTCTCGTATGGAGTGAATTTCCATTTGCCACAGCTGTCCCAAGTTCACAAAAGAAGACTTTATACAAACTTTTATATCATTTTCTTTTTTCTCAGCACAGACTCGATACAAAATCCGGCAGCTTCTCAGCGGACTATTGGGCAAAGTGAATTATCTTACCGATGAGCCTATTCAAACAGTTTTCGAAAGAGAGTTTATATTCAGCACCTGCTTTGAAATTTTATTAAAAATTGGTGAGCTCATGGCTGTTTGCCAGTATAATCATTCAATGGCAATTTTTCAATGCAACTTTCAAATAAAAATGTGAATTGTTCTATCATCTGTTAATAAAAGGCCTACAGCTATCAAATAACATCTATATATAAAGTATAAATCATCGACAGAGAAAAACCTTCCAGCCTAATACCGATGATTTGTCCTGGAAATCAGCCGATCTATTAATTTCTTCGCGAGACACACTGTATTTATTTATTTATGTGAACTTTAAATATCATCGTCTTAATGAGTCAAAACACTTCGCTCCGTTCAGTGTTTCAATTATGAAAGATAAAGTATTCTCCAATATTCCTGAAAATTTACGCATCGGTGTATGTTCTACAGTAGGAGCTCTCTACTTAGCTGCATCGGTTTCCACAATCATAATCAATGGTCTGTTATTGTTTGTTATATACAGAGATCCACTTAAGTGTTTTAGGCGACCATTTGCGGTATTAATCACTGGACTAGCTATTACTGATTTTACCGTAGGTGCTATTGGTGACACCACCTCTGCTAAGAATGAGTTTTACTGTGTTAAAAACCAAGACAGACAGAACTCGTTTGACTACGTTATGGATTACTTCATCGATAACTCTGCTACAGTGCTTGTGGTTGCTTTGTCTGTTGACAGACTTACTGCGGTTGCCTTCCCATTTTTTTATCGCTGCTCTGTAAAGAACTTCCATTCTATCATCATGGTCATCTCAATTTGGCTTTACTGTTTGGTTTTCAGTTTACTTCAGCTCACTGACATTCCGGAGGAAATCTATGACTCTATAGATGTGCATCTTCACGTAACATTTGCACTCTCTTCTACTGCGGTAGTATACTGTGTTATTTACTTAATCATCCGAAAGAGAAGAAAGTCTTTTCCTGGAGAAGAGATTCCAGGACGGAAAGCCGAACAACATCGCCGAAATTTGCAACGCGAAAAGGAGTTTGCCTTCACAACTTTCCTGATTCTTTTAGTTTTGGTTCTGACACAGATTCCATACCTTGTTTTGACAAAAATTGAGTCAAACTGTGAAAGCTGTCTCGAGAGTTCGTGGTTTTTTGTGACAGATAAGTTTTCAGATTTCCTGTTGTGTGTGAGTTCCATTGCGAACCCGTTTCTTTACGGATGGAGAGTGAAACAATTTCGGAATTCATTCATGACAATTTTTTGCAGATCTAGACTTCATCAAAATGACATGGAAATGTCGCAAACTGCGGCGCAGGAGAACGAAGGAACAAGGGAGACTCACACATGATAAAACCGAAATGATAATTTCAGTTAATTTCTTAATTCATTCATTTGTTTTTACTTAATTCACTCTTTTAATCAATCTGTGTTCGAGTGTAATCCACTAACAAACGGGCTTAGTTGTGTTGTGTTAAAAGATAGCGTGCTTGAAGATATCATAATTTTTCAAATTTACTAACTTAAAGTTGTATCAAAGTCGGAGCTTAAATTAAACCGGAGAACTTAAAAAATTGATGTCTTAGTTATTGTTTACAGTGTAAAATAAGACAACTGCTCCTACTGGGCGCTTTGAATTTTTTCTACATCTAGTTGTTAAAGCCCTAGGACCTCGACCCCTAAATTCTTTCGTAATCTTCCTGACTCTGAACCGCGTGACGGCTAAATCATGTTTTCTTCTTCTTCTTCTTGAATTTAAATAAATTAAAGTTGGCTTCATAAGTAGGACTTGAGACTTCGCCAAACTGTCAGTCATATCGCTTGTGTACACTACTTGCTAATCGTGAAAATGAAAAGGTAACAATAGTTCTTTGCGTAAGTTGTGACTTCTTTCCGTAAAAGATACTTCCTTTGTGTCGGATGAGATTTGAGAAGTTCTTCCGAGTGAAGAAGAGTCAGACATAGGCAGCTCACTCTTTAAGTGTCAAATAAAGTGTTTCCATGAGTTGTATTAGAGGTTGTTATCACCCCCTCGCATCGCTCAGCGCTTTCACTTCAACACATCGTATTTTGGTTTGGACTGGCGGGCCGTTTGGATGCAATTGTTGTGAAGAAAATTTATGCCGCGTGTAATTAGTGTTTATGTTAATCATGACCAAATGTGGTTATTTGGCTGTATCAATTCAAGTTTCTTATTCATCTTTAAATAAGGTGAAAAAGAAAATTTCTACCAGTAATTACTAACATATGGGTTTTTGCTTTCCTGGAGAAGTGGCAAACGAGTGGATAGATAATGCAATCATTCGACGAGTCCAAGTGTTGCCGCTCGTTGATCATCTCCAAGTGCAATATGGCCTAAAAAGTTGGCTTGTGACGATTATTTCAACTTGAGACAGGAACTTCCATGTAATTGCGGTTTTTTCCGTCTCATTTTTTAGGACAAGTAGTGTCCTCGTGCACGACGTTCATAGCAGCCGTGACTGAAACCGATTAGAAACCATGAAGAACACTCGCGCGCTCCGCGGAAATGGCGGGAAATAGAAAGAGCCCTAACGGGGAGGGGGAGGGTTTTTCTCAGCAAAAGTATTCGGAGGGCTAGATTTTGGCAAACGGTCGAAATAGGATAGGAAAATACAAGATAATAGTGTTTGAAGTTTTTTCACTGCTATTGCCCCTGGCTTAAATTAAAACTACTCTCGAAAAAGCTCGATGAAATCGAACAACTCCATCCCAATCCTTTCTCGATCCGTATACCGCAACGCGCAGCATGGCGGGAAAATACAAAACGCGCATGTTTTCGCATCGTAATGTTTTGGTAACTGTTGAGATCATCAACATTTCCATCACAAAAGATATTCCACTCGCCTTTCTGCAGCTATGTCGTTTGAAGGGTTTGCAAGAGACGTCTTTGAAAGTTGGAGCGATGTTGGTGTGGTTTACACAAGAAACAAATACGGCCGAGTAGTTTCACCACCTGGCTTTTCGATAGGCTGCAAAAACAATAATTCCTTCAAAAATAATGTCCCCAAAGGTACTGGCTTTTCATTTTTTATTTTTGTTAATGGCAATGATTTTCTTTATTTTTGTATTCAATAATGTATACTGTACTCGGCATTTACCGTACGTTTGCGTTTACACAAGGTGATATCCTCGAGCAGTTATTTGGCAATATTTCATGAAATCTTGGGTGGAACGTTGGAGAAAAATATTCGACTCTTTGACTTCCAAGATTTCATTAGTAATTATTCTCACTGTCTGATATGCAATGCTTAAAATGTTAGTTCGGATAATTTGCTATTAAATTATGTAATCAACTAATTTTATAGTTTTGTTTTTTCGCACACCTGTCTGCTTGATATTGTATTGGTACAGTAATGAGAAATTCGGTCTTAGAAGTAAAAGGGTCAACAGATAATGTATCTTTTCATCGGTTTCATCATTGCCATAGCTATGTTGATTCTTACAAAAGAAAATAAATTATTGGTAGACAAAATGGCGTGATCTGAAAGCAAATTTAAGATTTTTCAAATAATTTCTCTCCTGAAGTTCACCCTTTCACTGAAAAGATGTAGCTTTTGATACTCCCCCCGCCATGCTACATAATTTTGGCAATGTCGGTTCCGAAGAGAATGTGGTCTTCAATCAAACAAGAACTTGTAGCTTATATTTTGTTATAATTCTCATTACTCATCTATTTGACTACATAATGAAATGTGAAGAGAAATCAGTATTTGGCAAGAGAGGGAAAAATATAATCTGTTATATTATAAGCTGAATTGTACATGCATTTTTATTGCCTCTTACTTATGAGTTGTAGGAGGTCAAATGCACAGATGGTGATATCATATTAAAAATTTTGCTCTACTATCATATGAAACAAATAGATTTTATTTTACATGGGTTTGTGCTATCACTATAATAGATCACAGAAGACATCAAATGTGGTTAAAATATCAGTGACACACTTGGTTACGCATCTTGTGCCATTTTTTTGTCCTTATCACATGTTGATGTCATCTGTGATCTATTACAGAACAGATGGATAGCAACATGGATTCATTAATTTTCTTAAACTGAAACAGAAGAAACTGTGATAATTTCTCAGTATCTACAAAAAAGTAGATAATAAATGGATTTAATACTCTTTGCTGTTAATTGTGCTTCTATATTCTCCATGGTGGTGTATTCACCATCACATTGCCTACAGGAAAATTACCTGTATAAGACAAGTTTGTTTGAACAATTTTAATTCCTTCTTTTTTTCATTTTTTGTCATTCACAGGAGCAAATTGTTCATTTATCATTGATAACAGCATCCAAAATCCTCAATCCTTGTTTCTTATTTGCTTGGATTTTGTTGCCAAAAACATATGTATGGTGGAATCATTAGAAGGGTTTCCAGACATTGTTGGGGAACAACTTTTCCAAAAAGTCCAAGAGAATGATGGATTTGGATCAGATCCCAGGAATATGAAGATATTTTGTGAAGCGTATGGTGAATTGGTGTTATCAAAGCTTTCACTTAGTTCAGCACATGTCTTTACAAGTAACTATTTGGAATATCTTCAACTGTTTGTATGCCTGACGGAGCTGGATGTCAGTCATTGTCGTCTTGGAGATACACATGAGCTGTTATCACATGTTGCTCATTTACACAAGTAAGTATATTGTATTGCAGTACCAAATTCTCTTTATTAATTTGCAACTACAGCTGTTATAATTTCTCAGCCTGAAAGGAGAATTACTAACTAGATCTTGGAATAGCATGCATATCAGCATAATGGCAAGCCAGTGGTCAGCAGTTTCTTGGTATAGGCTACAGCTGCCATCTTTGATTTTAACAGTAGCAGAAGGCTGGGTGAAACGTGAAATTTGTAGCAAGGGGTGAACAATAGTCAGAAGGAAGGAGAGTGGAGAGTTTAGGAAAATTGGGGGTGCTTTGCTTTATAACAATCTTCTCAGGCAGGCATCTTCTCGCCTTATCCTTTAAAGTCCTGTCTGCACAATTTGTGAGAGGACTTTGAGGTAGTTTGGAAAAAAAAATTGTCATTACAAAAGTCTCAACAATGTGAAAGTGGATGTTTTTCTATATCATAAATTTTGTACTGTTTTCAGCTGAATATAACCACTTCCCTCCAGTTTCTTCAAATGGTGTTTTGGATAATTTGTGTGTAAGTTTTCTTAGAGTGTAAATTTTAATTAAATTTCTAAAAATCTCCATGTGTTATGACACAAAAGTTATACATGCAATCATGATAGATTTATACTTTTACTGGTAATTATTGATTATGATTTTTTTCACCCAGCTTGAAAAGCCTTAGTCTCAAAGATAACTGTCTCTCTGATGCTGGTGTGAGACACTTTACCTTACCTTGGCGCTTTTTCAAAAGTGGACTTGGAAAGCTTTCAGTGTTGGATTTATCCTTGAATCCAAATATAACAGATGAAAGTGTGAAGCACATAGCCAAGTTGCATTCCTTGAGTGCTTTAAATCTGTCAGGCACAAGAATATCATTTGGTCATGGAGTTCTGCAGCTTATGAAAGACACAACCCTGTGTCTAGCACTAGATGTAAGTGGTCATACAGTTTATGTGGTAGTGAAGTTTTAAGAGCAATTTTGAATTGAATGTTGATACTAGTCTAGAATTGCTGTGGTGATCATTTACTTTGCTATGTGATTGGTTCAGAAAACTTGCATCACTAGTTTCAAAATTAAAACCAATTGCAACTTTGTCACTCACACTTTCCAACTTTTTAAGCAGTTTTTCTGTTTTCTACTTTGTTTTGTTTTTGGCTCCTGTTATAATATTCCTTTCTTCTGATTGGCTGTTTTGAATTCTTTGGTTTTGTTTTTAGTAATGATAATAATAATAATTTATTGACTTGTATTGTGCAATTATCAATATGAATTTTTCAATTATGCATTACAATGTTAAAAATTCAACTATGTCTAGATATTAAAGCTTAAAATTAAAATGTTGACTAAGAAGATGTAGAAACATGTAGGACACACAATTGAAATGTATTGTGCTGCGATACTCTTCCCAGTTTCTGTAGCATGTATCATGGCACCTAGCAACAACCTTGATACTGGACTCGATGTTGAGAGGTGTAATTTTGAAATCTAGCAAGATCATTTTGATATATTTTTGGGCAAGACACTGAAACCTCATAGTGCCTGTCTCTGAGTGGGGGTATAAATGGTTGGCCAAAAATTGTAAATGAGGGAAGCCTGGCAAAATGCAGGTGGGGTGTTATTGTAACCTGCAAACAAACAAATTTCTAATCAAGCTGGGATGATAATACTCCTAATCCCCTCATGCTACAAAGACCAGGATAAACTCTGGCCAGATGGGCGACCTGGTTTGATTGTTGAAGTTACCTTTACCTTTTACCTTCACTGCAGTAACTTAACTTTCCTTGACAGCTGTGAGAGTGAGGTGTCTTCCCCAAAAGCAAAACACAATGACCATGGGACCATTTCTCGAAGGACCCAACTAAACAGGCCTGTAAAGGTGTTCTGTTTTCATTCAAGATGAGGGTTTCAAATTTTTCAAAATTATTCAATAAACTCTCAGTTAAAGAAACAAAAAGGAGCTGTTAGGGTGCCAGAACTTGCTTTTTCATTCCTTTATTAATGGTTTTAAAATATGGATTTGGGCCTGTTAAGTTATTGGGACTTTTGAGGAAGGCTGGCTGAAACCTTTACTTCCCCATCCTGAGTCCACCACCCCAGCCACATGACCACTGTCATATGGATCAGATGATTCTGATAAACTCTCTCAAAAAAAATTCCCAGAGCATCATTGTTTTTATTATTATTGAGGCATATTGTTCTGTCTCCTGTCAACAACAGCTTGAAGAGTTCAAGCAGGAGAAAGCCTTTACAGTTACTAAAGGATGGGCTGTTGAGGTGATAAGTGATTGGAAAGAAAAATCTAAAGTCTGCCCTGCAGATGTAACAATAGATACACAGCTTAATAGGAAAACCACCAAGTTCTACAAATCCTCACATCATCACTTGGTCTGTAGGTCTACACCCAAGAACAAGTCCACAAGTGAACTCCCAAAAATTATGCTGTGTGCAAAAGAAAACAGGATGCCTTGTTGTAGACCTTCACCAATTCAGAAAATGGCAACAATACCTGGACAAGATGGCAAGAACAATTCTGCTAGAAATGGGCAACCCAAAAAGAGGTTAAAAACAAGAGGAACAGCTTTTACATCATCTGTTACGACTGAAGAATGTTTAGAAGATGGTGTCCTTAACAATTATTTGAAATGTGAAAAACAGTGGAAGCCTGTAAAGAGGAAGTGTTCTCTTCTAGAATCGTTAGATCTTGTGTCATAGGTAAGTGAACAAAGAAGTACTGATAGTTATAAGTATATTAATTGTAGATGTCCTTGTTTTGTGCTTTGTTCTTAGTTAATGGTATTAGTATTATAGCACTTCTTAGTTTATTGTTTGTTTGTTTGTTCTTTTTTTACAGTATAAAAAGCTTATTTTGTATTTCATAGTTTAAGTCTTGCTTAAAGGGAGACTTTGTACAACAATAATTGTGAACTTTTTTTTTGCTCTCTTTTGGTGAGGGTTGTAGGCAATGAAAAGATAGTAAAGCTGTGTTGTCCTTTTCAGTTAGTAATTAAGTGGTAAAATGTACTGTCTGTAGTACTTCTCATTAGCACCTTAATAACTCGGATTTCTTGAAAATTCAACTGGCAAAAGGGTTATTCTACCAATTGGCTTAAAATAGGAGAGAACGCTGATTTCTTGGGAGGTGGGGAAGGGGGTTAGGAATATGTAGACAAGAAAAGAGTAGTAAAGTAAGTGAAAAAAGTCTTGTAAGTAGGTTTTTAAGTTGTCTTTTGCACACCTGTAGTTTGCTAAAGAGTCCTGCAGTGCACCAAATTACAAAAACCTATGTTGAAATTTTGTTCTGTACCACATGTTTCAAGTAAGGTAATAACACATGACAACTTACACACAATATTGTTAAAATCTTTTTTTCTTTTATTAAAAAGTTAAATCCTGCTATTGACATTGCGCATGTTCTCTTACATGGATCTTGAAAAGAAGTATAACAAAACTATACTATGATAGCTGCAAAGTGCATGGTTTCTTTGATGACTGAGAGAAACATAGAAACAATAAGTGGATGTTACAAAACTATGGCAAAATATTGGCTTACTTACATGTGTGGTTAACTGTATGTGCATTGACAAAATACATTGGAGAAAGTGTGATCTGTTAAGAGATATTTACAGTCTGCGACTGCATACTCCATACTAAAATCCCTTCTATCAAGGGAACTAAAAAGAATGCCTAAAAAAAGGATTGTAGTGGTAGTCTTTAATGGATTGGCCAGAAAGTGAAATGAGTTTTAATCAGTCTAGTGCTAGTGTTGATCTTAAAGTGAAGCCTATGAAGCTATTTTCATTCTGAATTCTTTTTATCTAAAGGTATCATCGGTTAAGTTTGTTCCATATGCTCTTTAACTTAATCCACACTATGAGACATTATCTTCCAACATCAGATTGCTATTGTTGTTTGGAAAAAAATCAGGACTAATTTCATCTAATTTGGCTACAAATCAGAGTAAACAATTGCCTACAATTCAAAATTTGTTGGTTGGGAAATAACTTGATTTTAAAAACTTCTAGGGCTATTCTACAATCTGTGATTATTCTATTTTCCCAAGGCCTAAAGTAAATTACAATAAATTATTAAATGATTCTCTTCAAGATGCACAAAACTACTAGTGATAGTACAATATTTCTAATTGTGACTGTACAAGATTTCCAAAACTATCCATTTATCTGTCTGAGTATTGGGTGCTTGCATGCCCATAAGGGTTTAATTAATGTTATTTACCCCCAATTCACACATTTCATTGTGGCAATGTCTAAAAGAATATCCTGTACCTTCCAGAGTAACATATTAATCAAAATATAAGACTCTGATTTTCTTTCCTTGACTTAATTTTTACTGTTCACAATCTGGCTATATGGAGGAACAACTTTCAAAAAATAAATTGACTTTGTAAACTTGTACATAGTTGACCTACAAGTTTTTTCAGGGCTAACTTAACTCAACTGTCAAGTTGTACACATTGCATTGTACAAATGATTTTCAGTCTACAAAAGTGGATTTCTTTTGATAAACTCATTCTCCAAGAAACCTTTTACTCTTTTCTTTGTAATAAACTGATTTTTCATCAGTGAAGATGATGTATTATTAACTTTTTTGTACATCATATATGTACCTTATAAAATGAAGTTGTTTTTGTAGTAAAATAGCTTTCTTCTCCGACCTATGATATCTCAAGTATTTCATGTATAATATCCTTTTATACTGAGTTTCCTGGTCAATAGCTCTTCTAAACCAGATTCTTGCAAAGTTACTTCATCAGGAAGTATCCTGGAAGGAAGTGTTACTCCCTTGAAGAAAAAAAAAAGCTGCTTCATAGCCTTAATTAAAGTTAATTGATGTTTCCCCAAAACATCTCAGACTTGTAATTTTACTCTTGGCTATGAATAGGCACTTGATAATGGCTTTAGTGTGTCTTCAAATGTTGGTATCTCCATGCTACTTAACATTTGAGTGAAACGAAGTGCTCCAGGTTCTTCCTCTGGTGTTGGTGTGCTTGCTCTAGCAACAGGTTGCAATGGTGGTGGAGTATACTGCCCATAAACACTTTCTGCTGCATACCAAGCTCGCTGAGCATCCAGGTGTGCTTGAGCAAAACCACTTTCAAGTGCCATTTTTTTCTCAGTTGTCTGACGCAATGTATCCAATGTTTTCTGCCTCTTTCTGGCCTGAAATTCATCCACGTAGCCATAATCTGGTAAAGGTCTTGTCACTCCAGCACAGAGGAGATCTCTTTTTGATGATCGGTTTACTCTTGTTTTCTGTTTAGACTACAGAGAAAAAAAGAAAGTTTTAAAACAAAACCTTTAAATCCTGAACTTTCTTTTATCTTCAGCTGTTTCTGTCAATGTCACAAGTTTGTTTTCTCTCAGATATTTTTAACCCTCCACAATCTCTTGACCCTTTAACTCCCAACATCTGATTGTTAATTTTCCCTTCTATAGGTGCTACACATTTCCTTGTAAATTAGTTATGAGAACTTGGTGCTGGATCAAGATAGCAGCTTCTACCTTATAAGTTTGAATATTCTAATTACCTGTTTGTTGAATAATGTATAGATATTACAGGGAGAAGATTCATGTCAACCACCTTTGGGAGTTAAAAGGTTAACTGACTAGTTTTGTTGTCCACAGGAGGCTTATGATAACTACTGCATGAAGACAGCTGTATTTTTTTTTTAACTCTGATTCTGGAGTAGCTTTATTAGTTAATATCTCCTAGCATTCTTCAACCCAAACATGAAAGTATGAAAGATTATTAAGACCATGCTACAACTGCAGAATGTGTGTGCTACCAGATACTGTAAACTTGTCTCACCTTTCCATTTGAGTTCTGTTGAGGCATCTTTCCATTAGCATGTTGTTTGAAGTGTTTTCTTAGTGAGCTAGGGTCTGTGTATCTCTTGGGGCAGCCTGGTACTTGACAGGCATATGGCTTCTACAAAAACAAAAAGAAAGAAATGATTTTATCAGTAATTCTCCTCATTGTCTCTCATACAATTCCTATGATGTTAGTTTTGAGCATTTTGGTGTTGGATCAACTATGGATCCCCTAATTGATATTTGTCTTTATTATTCTTGCAACTTTTCTGCTTGATATTGTATTGATATTGTAAGAGAAATTGTCTCTTGTTGGAGACAAAGAGTTAATGAAGTAGTTTAACCCTTTATGCCTAACATCAGTTTACATATTCTCCTTACTGTTCTCTATACGTTTCCTAAGGTGCTGACAAGGAGAATTTATTTAACAGGCAAGAGCTTCTTTAGTTGGTGATCATTTCCTTTATTCTCATGACCTTAGTGTGTGATTGCAGGGTGATATTGTAAGGAGAAATTAGATGCTAGTCACCCATAGGGGTCAAAGGTTTAAAAGGTGTTTTTCCTTATTCTAATTACCTTTTCAGGTACTATTCATTATGCTGATGAAAAACCTTTTTACCCCATAGAAGTGCATGTTAATTTTTCCCTGGGAGGTCACAAGGACATAATGATCTTAATAATCCATCTTATGAAGCATTTCACTCTTTGTTTCATGATTGCTTTTGCTATACTTCAATATTGTTTCTGATTTAAGTGATTTCAGACTAGCTTTATTTGAATTTCTTTTGTTTATTTGGGACATGGTAATGTATTTGAAACAAAAAAGACAACAAATCATTTTGACCTAAAATTAATTTTAAACAGCAAAATTACTATTTTCAGCACTTAACATTTGACTGAAACTATAAGTCCCAAGATCTGATAAGTTATTCTCTCCTTCTACCACTACACATTTCCTTTTAAATAAGTTAGGAGAGTTTGATATTATCTGAAGATAACAATCAGTAGCAGATGAATATTTGTATTCTCATCATATGCTTGCTTAATAATGTGCCAAACCTGTGAGGAGAGGTTATGTATTATGGTTAGGGAGACAAGGAGAAGACTTTTTAATGCTTACTGTATCTTGATGTGTTCTTTGATGTTTAGCCCGATCAGATGAGTTTGAGAATGCTTTAGGACAGCCTAGGTGTTGGCAAAGGTATGGTTTTTCACCAGTATGTGATCGCATGTGAATCTTCAGATTTTCAAGCCTGGAAAATGCTTTATTACATCCTGGAAACTGAAAGAAAGAAAAAAAAAAGGATAAGTCAATTGCAATACAGCATGATCTCAAATGATAAGGGAAATTGCAATTCTATGTAAGACAATTGTAAATTGTGGACAGCTTATCAAAATTAATTTTGGCACTCTCACTTCAGATGAACACAATGAATATAAGAGAGTCAGTTTTGAGACACTTGTGCAATATCTTTTAAGATATTTGTTAAAACTTTTGGAGTCTCTTCAAGTTACATCACAAATGTGAGCAGAATAATTGTAAACTTCCTGTTTTTTTTGTCAGTGGCTTTAGAATAAAACAAATAAACAATCTACAGAATCAATTAAATTCACCAAATTCTTGCATTGAAAGTTTTTTTCAAGGCAGAATTTTTTTGCAGAGGTACCTTAATATATTTATGAGTCATTTCCCATTATTTAAACCTAAAAAAATGTTTCCAATAAGGGATTACTCCATAATGTAGACTTCCCAATTTATTTGGACTCAAGTGTGTCCTAAGTAGCACAAGTTATTAAAAGACATGACAGAGTTACATGGTGCTATATTTGAACTTGCTTGTTGTTTAATTGAACTTGAAAACCTTTTTTATGCAGACAATAACCATGACCTCTAAAAAAAATTTACTTAGTCTGTCTTACTGGAGTAAAAATACTGTTGTTTGCAATCTGATACTGTCTTGCACAAGTATTGACACCTGTCAACTTATTGCAGTTTTTTTCTTTTTCTTTTTTTTTTTTTGGAACTTCTAAGCTACATTTTTAGTAAAGCATTCAATATTGTTGATAGGGTGTAGAACATATTTGTTGGACAATATTTTTCAAAATGTTTCCTTCCTCTGACTTTTTCAGGCTTTAAGTTTACCGAATTGACGGGTCACCCTGATAAAACCACAGATGTGACTCTAGTCTACCCCGAGTTAAAAATAATGACTTTTAACTCTGGTCAGCTCTCTGTCTATAATAACTGTATATAAATTTCATTTTTTCACTTTGCTAGTAATGCTCTGAACATAATTTTTATTTGATGGAACAAAGATTTGTTGTTGTTTTTCTTGAATATAAATGGTAGTGAAGGAAAGAAAAAATTATTTACTTCTCCTATGTCAACTTTTAACTGTGTTGAGCGGACTGTTAAATGAACAAAATATTTAAAAAATTTCAGAGGCCGAAATATTTTATTGACGGATGATCTACAAATTTATCGCAAGCTCATGCACACCTGTCTAACTTTAAAATATATTAAATTTTTATATTTAGCACATGTTTTTAAGAAATCCAATCAGTAATTTTTTGGACAGCTGGAGCTTTTTCTCAAAAGAAGGAGATGAAAAATCGTTTAACTCCATTGGAGAATTTGTGACTAAAATTATTATCTATTTTTCTTGGTTTTCAGGTAAATTTGATCAAGGAAATAAATTGTATTGTGTAAATAACATTGAAACAATAGAGCTTTTCTTTTTAATTTTGAGACTCGTGACAGTAATAAATGATAGTATATTACATGTGCTTACTGGTGCCCGCTTATGTACTTTTACATACAGATTTTCATTACTGAAATAGCATTTGTATAGAAACGTACTCTTTTGAATTTCTACCGACAGGAAGGCTATTGTCACAGAACTACACTGCGCAGAGCCACAGGTCAATAATTGCAGCAATCAAATTTGCTGTCGAGTTTTCGTGAAATAGTCTTTCGAAAACAATACGCGAGTTATTTGTTTAGCTGGTTATGCTTCAATTTAAAATTAAACAAACTGCTGGTTGTCTCAAGTAAATGTTTAAACTATGATGTCTAAAAGAAATTAATTTGCCTTTATAAGGACAATAGACCACCTCCAAATTTATGTTACTTTGATTGATATAGGGATGGCGCTTAATGGGTGCACGAAAACCACAAACAAACGAGTAAAAATAATTAAGAAGAAATGTAAGTTAAATTGTTTATAAGACCTTTAAATGATTTACAGAAAAATAGTGAAAGTTCTGATTTCTTAAACTGTCGTGACTCTGGTAACATTTTATGGAGCTTATTAAATATGCAAGATGGGGAAAAGTTGGTTTTGACGCGGCTCTTAAAAAAAGCTGTAGAATTTTTATCTCTCTTGTGGCAGGTGTATAAATTTAACATACAAATGAAGCTTATCAATCACGTTTTTTGTCTTGGAAAATCATAATTAAAGCATCACTTGAATGTTGTCCACTAAGAAAATATTAAAAAATACCTGTGAAATTTTAATTAAAAATAACTTCTTACATACTCGCCGTGTTTACTCAGAAGCAAACTCTACGTCGTAGTGAAATCGTGCCTGAACAAATTACAAGAGGGTTTTTTTTTTAATAGGTATTGACAATTTGAAATGTAAGGCCTGTATGAACAATATATCACTTGATACACTGTACAAGACAGGTGGTTTAGTAATATGTTAAAAAATATTCGCCAAATATTCCGTGACCTGAGAATCACGCTAGCAGCGGGAGCCATGTTTATCCAAGGTCAATCGAAAAGCGTTCACTGGCGCGGTGCTCCTGAATCTGAACGCCATCGCGCAGCAACTGATTTCAAGTCAGAGATATTTAAATTTTCGTTAAATCCAATTAAAAGTACACCTTTCGTTGAAAGCGAGAAAACAATTTTGAAACTTTTCAAAGCCGCATCTCTTTGTACTTTCAGACACTCCTACAGTACGATGCTCTACCTTTTTACCAAAGTAACTAATCTGAGAAGAATAGAAACTTAAAATCGACAAGGTGTTAAGCTAGATTACTTTTTGTTCGCTTAATTTCTTTTCTCGTGCAGAACGCGAGCGGTTTTCGAACAACCAAGGTATATTAGAGTTAAATGATTGGTTCCATAACAATTGTTTTTTGGCCTCCCGGAGTTTTAACCACATGGTGCACATTGAACCGTTTCGAACATGTCAAATTTTTGCCGAAATTCAAGAGCCAGTGCTAGGTCAATGGAACAGATAATCTCTTCTTAGTGTTCGATTACCTTCTTTCCCTCACAAGACTTCATAGATTGTTTTTGCGAGGGATTAAATTGTTTCGTGATCTATTCCGTCTGTCTGATGACAATCCAAAAAATTTGTTTTTCTTCCCGGCTGCCCCGAACCGCAAGTATAACAAATATGCTATTGAATTTGAAGCCCCAGAGGCCAGAATGAAAGACAAACAATGTAATTATTGTGTCTTATGCAAATCTCTCTAGAAACCCTGGCGTGAGGGAACGAATGCCTACCGGTCAAGAACGTCACCTATAGCTACCGAACGGTGTTTTTTGAAATGGAGACATTTGTTTTCTTCACCGCAATCGTGCGAAATTGCGGCTTGCATTTCCTGTACGTATTTCTTGTTGCCTCCTATAAGCAGAGCCACAAAAGCCGGCCTTGTTTCGTTCAAAGAGAAGAAAATGTTGTGACTGGGTCCATAAAAACATGATTAAATTAAGCGCAAAATGGCATTTGAATACCGCTCGTGAGTTCAAGTACGCCGCGCGCTAAATGAATTGAAATTTACTTTTGGGGTTATTTTTAGAAATTTCACAAAAACATAACACCCAGAGCTGTTGTATTTCTTAAGTGTAGTCGATATTCGACGTGGCGCTCTAAAGGTTTGGCGAAACATTTCTCTTGATCGCACAAATTGAGTGTAAAATAATTGACGCGATACATATGAAAGAAGGTTGAAACAATGCAAAACAAACACGAGTCGACGTAATAAGTTTGTTGTACTACTCACCGTACACTTGTTGGGTTTTTCACCCGAATGTACTCTCATGTGAATCACCAATTTGTATCTGGCGTTGAAAGCGCGGCGCTGCCTGCTACAATCCTTCCAGTAACATATATAAAGATCATCGGCTTTTCTTTGGTCGATGTGAACTTTCTCTATATGCCGCACTAAGTCATCTTGCTCTGAATAAAGTCCATCGCACCCAACCCATTTGCAAGGGAATACACTGCTCTCTTCGCTGGGAAGCGATTCCTTTAAAGCATTTGATGAGCTCGTGGGAGGCTTCTTTTCTCTCACTGAATCCTCTCCGCTGTTCCATTTTTTCTCATTCTCTGCCAGGGAAGCTTTCTCGTCGTCTTTGTCCGCTGGCGTAGACAAAAACTTACCAAATGTTTGCAAATGTTCTTTGAGAATTTGCTCGGATTTCGTCGTTCGGCTTCCAGACTTGAACAGTGGCGATAATTTGCTCCTCGGATCCGGTACAACAGTGACGTTGGGAGTGATGGATTCAGCCTGGTTACTCCACACCCGGTAATTCGCAAACGATCTCGGATTATAGTTCTGGTATGCCCTGTTTCTATCATACGCATAGCCAGGGCTCGGTTCCGTCGGTGAAAGGTCCGAATCAGACTCGCTGTACGGAAAGAAATGCCGTGCTCGTGTCGAATGGCATGGACTGCCAAGATCCGAGTCAGATAGCACTGAACTCCCTGTTGACAGGGATGGCGAGAAGTTGTCAGCTCGAAATGACTGTTGCCGGCCGTTAAAGTAACTTCCAACGCCATCAGAACCCGAACTTGACCAACTGCGAGTACGCGGTGCTTCTGGGTAGCTGTACTGACGAGCCGGGCGATTTATTTGGCCGCGACTTCCTTGAGAGCTAAACCGAGACTGAGCGACGCCATCCCTGGCGAGTTCAGACTCAAAGTTTGCCTTTTCGGCCAGCTCTGATAAGCCAGCTAGAGGGTTAATGTTTACTGGCTGGGGACAGTTCTGGGGAGAAGGAAGATAAGATTCACCTCCAGCACCTTGAGAATAATGCATAGCAGCACTTTCTGCGGCAAATCCATTTTGCGCGGTGTTCACGTTTGGCAACTTAACACCGCTTGATGTGGACATTCCACCATGTGTATTGTGATCCGTGTAATGATAATCAAACATGGCTGCAGTACTTCTCTCCGGTGGATTAATCATTCTTCCATTGCCGGCGCCACCAGTTATTTCTGCGCGATCAAAAGAGTCATAACTTCTACTGTAATTTCTCATTCTTGACGCTACAGGGTCTTCGTGTGTTTCGCCCGAAAATTTTGGCCCTGACACTCGACCTGCGTAGAGCCCACTTCTGGATCCATACATTATGCTGTTGAAAGGCACAGGGGAGTTCAGAGCCCTGTTGGCTGTCTCCTCTGAAATTCCAGTTTCTTTTCTATCGAGTTCTGCGGTGAAGGTTTTCAGATTGATTTCTTGCAGTTGTTCGAGGTATTTGACTGTGTCTGAATAATCTTTCAAGGTAAGATCGGTGTTTTCTCCTCTTACCACATTCCCCTATAACATTCAAATAACAAAGTAAACAAGATTAAACAACTGGTGAAATGAGCAAAGAAACTCTGCTGTCCTTTAACTTCTGCAAGCTGAGCACTCGATGATTGAAAAATAAATTCTTGGGTGAACGTTCTCAGTTATAGTGGTTACCTTGGCTTCAAATGATTCTGCCGTGAAACCCGCGCTCGGCCTCGTTCAAACGCGCCGAGATGTTAATACGCTGTAAAAGCATGTAAATTACTTAAGGGAGGCAGACTTTCTCTTATCTTAACACACGAGTGGAAATAACAATAGAAATGCTAAACTGCAACACTAGAGTCTACCACCTGACTTCTGTGATCGGTCCGCTTTACTGCAGGAAACCCAATTTGATTGACACCTATTCATATCCGTTGCCATGGAAACTAATTAAGGCTTATTAAATTTCGCCGCCTCACCAATCATTTCTCAGCGCACGTTCCTGAAAGGCGGAGAGTCGTTTTTTTTGCGCTGTCTTTAATGGTCATTGGTCTGGCCTTTGAATGACCGTCTTGGCTTATCCTAGGGGCAAAACGACTATGCCAGAAGTCCGAATGCCCCGAGGTGGTTTGATAAAGATCTCTCTATTGCTTTGTACAATCGCATTCATTTAAGCTGCGCATTTGAAGAGTTTCATTAAACCTGACGTGAGCTTGACAGTTTTTGACAAAGGCTGAGTTACGTACCATTTCCGGTATTTGTTTGCCATAAACGCGCAATTTTCGCACCAAATTGAGGTTTATTAGTTTAATATTTTACCCATCTTCTCGTCATAAGACAAAAAAGCCTCTTCAGTGTCTAAAACCAAAGGCTGTCGCACAAACACTTCAGAAAGCTGTGACATGCAGACAGTTTATCATAAACCTTTCTTAAACCTACGATAACCTCTCGTCTCTTAAACCACGATCGCTCGCCTTCCCATAGTTTATACCAAAGTATATCAGACCGACCGGTAGATAAGTTTATTATTCATCATCCCTGTGGCAATACTGAAACGACCACTCCTCTGCCTGTGGCGAAGCGAGATAGCGAGCCATTAAAGCAAACCGCCCCTTACAAGATCCGTTCCTTTAATAGCTGTTTTATTTTCAATGAAAAATCTTCTTCCGCCGGGTGGATCATTCAAACGCGCACAAGAAAAGAAAGGATGTCTTCTGTTGCCGAACGCAAATAAACATATTTGCATCGCATTAAACTTTTCCTCTTCAGCAAACAGATGGGAACAGATGGTTGTTGCGATAACCCTATCGAAAATAGAGCTTTTTTCGGGGGTATGGAAAATTCCAGGCTTACCTCTCGCTTTGAATTAACTGAACATGACTCAATAGTAACCGAAGCTCGCGAGATTGTCGTATTTTCGGCTTGGTCGTGTCAATATCAAGAGGAATAAGCGAATTGTACCTTTACAACCTCCTTGTTCGCGGTCAATTTCTTGTGTTTTGTTAGGTTCTTTGCTGTACAGTTGCTTTTCTGGCTTGATGACACAATAACTCGTTACGCACACGATAAATTACTCAGAATAAGAAAAGCAAACTTGGAAGCACTCCGAAAATGACAGGAAGCCTCAAATATTTGAAGCAGCTGCGAACCTGGTCTGTGCCGCGCTAAAAGATGAGTTGAACTTCTATTAACTCGCCAAGTGAGCTCTCCATTACATGCTAGCTTCCGAGGTCGAGATGTCCCTGCCGTGATAAAAGCCCTGCTTCTCGTAACATTTCTACATACACGATTTCTTTTCGAGTTTGATAACATCACTGGAAAAAACCCCGTAAACTAATTGACTTAGCACTCAGACTAATTTGATAGAAATCTTACCTAAAGTACAGGAGAATAGCCTCTTGTTATTTTTCGCCACTCTTCGAAGATTTGGAGATCTTAAAAAACAGCAATGTACCATTCGATGCTTATTTTCCCCGCCAGACGATACGAGGTCGGATAAGCAGGCGTATTTACTTGGCATATGGTTTATATCTCATGCAAACGACGGAAACATTGACCTAGCAAGAAGTATCAATTCGCAAAAGCGCGTTTCCGGTGCATACAGTAAGGTTCGGGATGTGCGTGACTTGTTCTGCGCTGAAAAAGATAAAAGCTTTGGTTTGCCACACTCAGGCCTTAATGATCTCTCTCATAATAAATTTTTCATTTACCCAAAAGTCGCTGATTTTTTTGCAAAGGTAATGGAGAAAAATACGCTTACAAGTGAATACACAAATTTGTTTAGACTCTCCGTGATGTAGACCGTCGCACCCGCGTTTTAAAGCGGCGAAAGTTACTTCTTTTTCGACTTTCTTGAACGTTCGTGTTTGTTTTTCCATTAACGCCCACTCTTAAAAGTATATGTATTAAGAGAAGAATATTTTAAAGAGCAGAATTACCTTGAGAGTCTGATGAGGTCTAGAAGTTTGTTCAACCAGACGTAAAATTTCCATTCAGGTTCAAATCGGCGTAATGTGAGTTGTTTTGTGTGTCTGAGTGAAAATTCATTCTATTTCGGTTCTTATTTTCAAAACAGTGTCTCCTCGCATAATAAACACATAAGTAGATTCTCTATTTTGGACGCCAGTGATTGGCTGAATTTTAAGATCAGGCTCAAGAAAAAAAAAGTGTCTCAAATCGTGACCACTGTGAATAAAAAAAGAAGAAAAAAAAGGAATGGAAAATTCCCGCGTTTTCTCAAAATTGATTGTGCGTTGGAACGTTATGCCGAGTATGTTGTAAGCCTAATTGATCAACTCCTACCAAACGCATCGCACTAGGAAGGAAGAACTTACAAAGTGTTTTTATCCAAAAAAGAAAAAAAAAAAAAAAGGAAGAATCGACTAATGCGGCTTTTTAAAGTCCAGTTATGAAAACCTCGCCGCAAGCACAAGAAGCCGAGTAATTAACGTATACTTATTTATTTTTTTTTGAGGAATATTGAGAGTACTTTACAGAATGAATTCACGGCGAGAGATCCGATTGAATTTTGTCGGTCGCCCTAAAAGCTTCCGCTGTTGAATATTCTTCGCATATTTTCCGCACTCAGCTTTTCCACATCGGTTCGTCATACAATATTTCTCTCAGATTATCGTGAAACTGTGGATTGGTTTTTTTGAAATATTTTAAACAGTTTTCCATGACTTGGCGTGTTTTAGTCAGTTTTTACCGTCACTAAAGTATCGGCCGTTATTTTTCCGCCTTAGTACTCTAGCGCTCGAATCAATCTACCAAGCGAAACATTGCCTCAAGACAAAGCGACCCTCTAAACAACTGGCGCAGTCACGGCATCAGTGCGTGAAAATTTTGTGCGTTCATTTTCCTGGTAAAATTCGGCCATGTATCTCATCTTAATGGTACATCTTATCATGTTTACACTGTCGCACAGTTTAAACAACGTGGGAGACTGAGAACTTCGGTTAGCCAATTGGATCACGGCGCGATGTCACTTAAGGAGTAGTTCACTTTGCAGCGCTTTCGTGAGTTTTCTTAGGCCCTATTTTTTTCACGGATGTAGTTAAGTGTCTCCTCTACGTCATAGGTTAAACACAGTCATCCTTTACACTGAAGAACCATTGGTGAAAATTTGCATAGTCACGATGGAGCAAATCAAGGGGGAGGGGACTGGGGTTTCACGACTGGAACAGCAATTAGGTTTTTTATAAATTGAGCCAAGAAGGAATATGTTGTTCGTTTGAAGTGTGTATCGTCGGAAATCGATGTTTAGTTTTCGGGTAGCAACACGGCAACATGCGTGTTAGTGGATTTAAGCTTTACTGGTCGTATTGATCACCCACATATGGTCAGGCAAGGTACTCTGATCGTATGTCAATTATAACTAAACCTAGGAAACAGATTTGTGTGTTCTTGAGAAGTCGATCTTCTGGTGTACTAGAAAATCAAAGTGAGTTGAAGTGTCTTCATCACATTTCACCTAACTTACAATACAATTTTCGCCAAAATCAAAACTTTCCCTTCCCATGACCTCACTCCACTGTTTAACCTCAGTACTTTAAGCAGGAAGGCTGTTAGAAGAGAACGACATATTTGGATGTCAGGAAAAAACTAGAACTGTTTATCTCCAGGTACTAATAATCTCTGGTTGTGGAAGTTTTTTTTATTTTTCAAGGCTTTTAATAATTCAAGTTTTTGGCTTTTTGAGTTTTGTTGATTGTCTCCGATATTGGTCCCTGTAGCAGCTAATCCGGTTAAACTTGTGGGTTACCTTTGCCTTAAACATACCGGCTTTTGTTTTCTAGTGAGTTTGAAAGTTCTGCGACACGAATTTCTAACGGTAGTCCTGCATTGCCTAAAATTCTGCACTTCACTCAGTATACATCTTATGTCATTGTGGATAGATTTCAGTTCAATCTGTTCAAGCTTCATGGATCTTTTCCGGCTTATTCCTTTGCTAAAATGTCTAAAGAGGAAAACACTTTGGGTACATTACACCTGACAGAACGTCAAGGATTTTGATTGAGGCTTACACTGTTACAGTGAATGGCAAGATACTTCACTAGCCCGCTTCAAATGGTTTTCTGCCCAATTTTTTTGGGAGGAAAATAAGGAACCTAATGATACCGATAATATTACCGCTTGATAATTCATGAGTAGATATGGAGGCGAATGAAACAAGAGTACTCAGAGCAGTCTCGTTCTTACCTCATCGCAAGGGTTAACACTGGCCAAGAGTTGCATGTTTCCAGACTGGGTCTCTCCACGACACTAAGCGAAGAACGTACTTAAGCTGTCAGTCTTATAAAAAGTCGGCAGCAATTAAAATGCATAATATTTGCATTTCAATTAAGTTTTCGCGTGCCATTGTAAGAGCAACGATACGCTTTCAACCGGAACGTTGTAATTAAATGTCTAAAAATATATATTTTTAAATTGCAAAGTAGGAGTCCTTTGAAGCGTATATAATTCGTGGTCTTGAATTCATTGGTTAAATTCCAAGGGAAACCGTGCTTGTTAAATTGTTCTTAAATTATCGTAATTTATCATCGAGCTGAAATGGCTGGGTGTAGTTTTTGGCTAGCATTACGTGCATACTCCTTTGAGAGCGTTTTTGTAATTAGTTTCCACGCACGAAAAGTTATTTCATCTTTGCAAAGTCACCGAGCAAACATTCCATCAGCATCATTCTAACTGTCGTTCATTATTTAAAAAATCGCGTGACCAAACGTAAAAAACCATTTGAATTCAATTGGGGAAGTGACAAGTGGCGTGAGTTTTTGAATGGCTTACCTTTGGGAGCGTGCATTCGAAGACATCATCCATAGTTTTTTTAGAGTTTCATTAGTTTGTGATTTCTTCGTTTTGAACCTCTCT